TCAAGAGACCACTGGCTATATCGAGGGAATGGAGCGCTCCGTCGAGGGCTTCATCAAGGAACGGGAAATCTTTGCCCATGGCAGCTAAGCGAGCTTCAGCACCAGTGGTGCGCCGATGCTTGGGTTCGGCATTCTGCCTCTGCTTCTTCTGTGAAGAACCTCCGCGCTGGATGGGAAGTCGAGGCAACGCCACTTTCGGAGTGCGGCGAGAGGGACGGAGGGACGAGGCGGTGGTACCTGGTTGGTTCATGATGAATACTGTAAGTTCTGCTGCTGAATCGATATGGTTCGGCTATTGCATGTCACTGTCTGCGTGAAGAGATGTTGCGAGTCGGAGGTCCGAACTATTGTTGATTTCCTGGGGTCCAACAAAAAGGTAGGTTGGTGTCATTAGCAAGGTACCAGGCAGCCACGACGAGCAGCTTTTGATTGTGTGGTCAGGCACGACGCAAAATCATTTTTTGTCCTGCATGAAACTATGGCACAAACCTGAGGACCCCGAAAGTATAAATCAAAAAAGGGAAGATTCTGCAATACATTTTCGCATTTTGTCTTGACTTTTCTGAAAAGTTCTTTCGTCGGCTCTTTTTGGTGATTCTATCGGAAACGATCTCGACATCATGTTTCTTGGGATAAGGATCAATGGCATCTTACTGCCATTGCAAACTGGCGTACTAGGTTCTTTATTAGTTACATCAGCTTGGAATGTCTCGATCATAGAAGAAATATCAAGCCTTCATCCGGGCTGACATTGCCTTTGCAAAGGGCATCCCAACCCTCTTTGACATCATCCATGCCCTCACCCCATTTGAACTTTAGGCCCTTGATGACCGCCCGATCCCTAAACTCTTCCCAGGCCGAGTTCAGTCCCTCCCAGTACTCTCGCTCTCCAAGCTTCTCGATCGCCCGCAGTCTCATGTCGTTGGCCGAGGAGACCATGGCCCCTCCGGTCGCCGTCCCTAGCGATTGTAGAACCTCCTGTGGCCCCTTGGCGTCGACCGATGGGCCGACACTAAGCATGGTCAAGTTTCGATTGCCATAGCTGCCCGGGATCTCGTTGGCCCATCTTGCTGCGACGCCCGCTCGTCCGCCAAAGTCGACGACCACCACCCTCTCGTCCTTGCCTACCTGCAGCCTCGAGAGCAGCTCCGACGGCGACGAGCTCGTATTGACAACCTCGTCGTACAGGTCGGTACCCTCGACGAAGCTCTTGGAGTAATCACTAGCAGCACCGATGATCCTCTTGGCTTTGACCTGCTTCCGCGCGTGTCGCACCTCGAACGCAAAGGCCGCCGCCGTCTTGGACCCAGGCGCGAAGACGATGACAGTTGCGCCCGACAGATTGGCCTCGGCTGCCGTCCACGGCCGGCTGGTATCCCGCGACGGATGCAGCACGTCTTCCGGGCTCTCGGCGAACGCGAAGCGGTTCAGCAGATACGAGGTCTCGTACACGACCCTGACGGCGGCATCCATGGCCACGGAATCCGCTTTGGCCTCGATCTTTTCCTTCAGACTAGCGGGAAAAACCAAATAACGGTTGTAGAACGGCATGACGTCCTTGCGGTGGTCGCTGGTGACCCAGACCTGGCCCGGCACGTCGCCCTCCTTGACCGTAAGGTCCTGGGCCAGGGTGTCGAGCGGTAGGTAACCGTAGACGTAGGAGCCCTTGGGCACACTGGGTGCCGTGGACTCGAGCACCTCGGCGAAGCCCCAGCAGTTGATCCGCCCGTACTTGGCCGGGTCTTTATACTCCGCCGGCGTGCTGGGAGGCAGCGGGTGAAAATCCCACCATTTGAACAGGAATCCAATCTTGGCATAGGTTAGATTGTTGACTGTAAGGCTCATAACCTTGGTGCGGAGGCGCAACGAAGACGAGGTGGTGAGTGCCGGGTAAGGCACTTCATCCGGTAACGAGACAATGTGCTGGTTGGCGTGGTTATCCTTCTCAAGGATCTGGACGGCGGGAACCTCCGCCATGATGTTATAGAGCTGGTGGAGAACGACGGTTGTAACTTGTGATGAAGCTGACAGGCGTAACCTAGCAGACAGGATAAAAACGAGGAGCAGCAGGTTTATGCTATACTTAACCGCTGATCAAGCCTAGCAGTCAAAAGTCAGCCAGGAGAAGAGAGGCTCGTTTACATATCAATCTGCGTGGAGAATCATCCGGGATCGACGGAGCTCACATCTATACCCTGTGTTATATACACTTGTTTATCATTGTTTAGTCGGAGTCGTTGAAGGATCCGGATCCCGCACACTTGTCGTAATTAGGCTGCCTCAAACCCCACATTTCTAGATAGTTTGCGATGGCCATGCGAGTGCGAGGGATTCTCAATTCCGTCTGGGAATCCCGTCCTCGCCGTCTGAGTCAGATCCTATTCGCTCCTCGCATCCTCCCGTGCTTATGATGGGCTTATATACATATGATCTGATTGGTGATTGTTCACGAACGTAGTATTCAATATTCAACCGTGTATTCGCACGAGATGAAGTCAAAGACTTATTCATTTCTCGCAAATACAAGCCGCCGAGTCCCAGGTCATGATTCATCAACTTTGTTGTTTCTTTCCCCAGTTGTACAACGCAAAGCGGATTTGCGAGATATTTTCGCTGTACATATTTGGGCAATATCATCCCAACCTGATAGACCATGTCCAAATCGTTGTTCTAGACTGGAATCTCCTCAAGGCTCTTGACATTAATCTCTTTCCTAGCATTCATTTTTCTCCTCAATGCACTACTCGCCGGATATACTGCGTACAGTCAGTGCACGTCAAAGCCAATGGACAAAAAATCAAAGAGACTCACGCTTTCTTCGCAGCCGATTCGACCCTCCGAGGGGCTGCAGCGTGACCAGGCCGTGCCACGGATCAATACGCATGTGGTCCTCCCAGAACATCTTGCGATCGGGCCGCCAGCTATCCTGCTTTGGCACGACGAGCCGCGCGACCGTCTGCCAGGGAAATCGGTCGGCGTCCCAGACGCGGCCGGCGTCCTCGACGGGCTGCTCCCCCAGATCCTCGCACAGCTGGACCTGAAACAGGTACTCGGCGTCGTGAGACCGATGAAACTCCCGCAGCCAGCGCTGCATGACGTCGGAGCCGTGCTCGGGTGTCGTGGTCTCCCCGGCGAGGCGCCGCTGCGTCTCGGTCGCGGGCGTGAGGCAGTACTTGACGACGTAGTCGCCGAAGCGGTACGCCGTCTGCGAGTAGTACCGCGTCGACTCGAGGTGCGTGTTGCGCACGCGGTCGCGCGCCGTCTGCAGCTCGGCGTCCGGCCGCCGCCGCAGCTGCTCGCACAGCGCCGCCTTGTCGTCGGCGTACCGGATCCGCAGCCCGATGATCTCCCGCGTCGTCTTGGCGTCCGCCAGGTCCAGTGCCGGGGTGCTTTTCGAGGATGTGAGTCAATGATTTTCTCTTCTGAAATTGCGTGAGAGCAAGCTGGGGGGTCAGGCTGTCTCGAGATGGACGGTAGATGAGGCCGTGTACGAGTCGAGTCATATATCGAAAGACATGCCTGGAAAGGGAGAATACTAACCTGTTGAACTCGATATCCTGCGTCGGAAAGTCCTTGCCCGCCTCAAACATGACGCCGTGCACGTTGAAGAGCTTCATCCCGAAGCCGCGCGGCTGGGGGATGCGGTCCTAGAAAGCAGGGTGAGTCAGAGTCCAACCATATCACCCGGAATTTGATTTGCTTTTGAACATCATAGTAAATCACATGCAACTCACATCCAAACCCGGATCGCCGGGCTCCGAGCTGTACCGGCATACGGCCGGATACTCGCCGCCCTTCTCAAAGAGCTCTGACTGCTTGAGATGCGGCGGCAGGTCGTCCGGGACGATAAAGGTGCCGGTGATGACGCCCTGCGTCCGCGCGTGCGTCCCGCCATAGCAGTGGCGGGCCTTGTTATACTGAAACCGCTGGATCTCGTCGACCTGCTTGAGCACGGCCTGGATGTGTTCGTCCTCGTCCGGCGGGATGCTCTCCACACCTTCCGCATCCCACCGAACATACTGTCTCTTGGACAAGTCGTCCGACCGGTCTATATGTCCGTTCGTCTTGGCATTAGAGATACCATTGCTCGCGTTTTCATTCATTGTTATATGTATAAGCATCAATGTTTTCGTGAGTATAGATAAATAACAGCCATCGACCTTTGAGAAATAGCCATCACGGCCCAGCTTTATGCGCCAAACTTCAGCTATAGCTCGGGCTTGAAGGTGCCGGCATATAGGAAAACACAACCACCACGATATCTCGGCGGCATACTTGCGCTCTGCTATACAGGTGCGGACGCATGTTCGGACCACCATCTGAGAGGACGTGGGTGCATGTGCTGGCGCTAGAAGTCGAACACATCCAATAGTCTAAGACTTGGAGCAAAGTCAAAATCTCAAGGAGGTTTAGCCTCGCGAGAAGGGATGGAGGAGGAGGGGCTTCGAGAATAAAGTCCCCTCCGACCGCTTTGCCCACCCTTACCTCATCATGATGGTGCAAACCCGGAGGCCGGCAAATCTGTGATCAAGATGGTCGGGAATTTTTTGGAGGATGGGAAGGGATTGGTCGGCATATCAAACCACCATATGCACCCCAGAATATCGCCAAGCCTAGGATGATGTGTTTGGATATACATGGACGCTCCAGACTCCTCGCGAGTGCGGATGATCTGCCCGCCTGGATTTGCGACAGTGTCTCGTGCTTTCGTATTCCTCGTACAGTCCCGAGACAAGGCATCATTGACTTTCTTGGGGTTTCTGACTATGTGACCACGGGAATAGTAAATCCAACAAATGTGCCCCTGATGGAACATCTTAGGCTACATTTCAATGGGATTATGAGTTGACTGTAGTATATGAAGTATGAATGTACAACGCACTTACACAGTGCACTAGTAGGGTTCATGACGAGTGGGAACTGGTCTGTGAATCTGGTATGGTTGTGGATATAGTTTTTGATTTCCATCCAATCAGTAACTGGTTCTTCCGGTTTATCCATCCGATATGGTGTAGTGGCTAACATATGACGCTCTCATCCTGATCCGTCATGCCCGGGGTTCGATTCCCCGTGTCGGAGCACAACCTTTCTTTTTGACCTTTCCTTCGCCTTTTCTCTTTTGTCACAATGGTGTCTGAATGTTATCCAAGATTTTTTTCTCGTTGTATTCGCGTCAAACACGATGAAATAGGAACACTCAAATCGATCAAAAGTCATTGGGGAATCGTACTCGTAAATTTTCAAAAATTAGACCAACGTACTATCTAAAAGCAAAATACCTCTCTCCCTCTTTTACTCCATCATGCTCGGTATATGCTTGTGATCATGTCCTGTCCTCTGGACCCTTGAAGAACGCACTGTCAAGAAGTCAATAAAGACAGCCAGCCGCTAGACTCCGTGCGTCCGTGATATCATTGCTCGTAACCCGACTTGACTCGCCCAGCCACAGTAGTCCTTTGCCTCCCTTCTCACCTATTATTCCTCATCATTGCCTCTACATCAACGTCGACCCATCTCATTTCTCTCGTAGCCGGCTGCGCCATGGTCTGGGGTGGCGATGTCCGCTGTCTCATCTGCTGCCTCACCCGAAGCCTAGGGATCAAATCCCTCGTCATCATCTCTAGTGCTTGTTGTAAAGACGAAGAATCTGGCCATCTCTGACCCCACCGCAGCAATGTTTGGTTTGCTCTGTCCAGGGAGTCCAGACTTCTCTGCAGATTATCTATCCCGTAGCCGCCCGGTCGACCTGGCAGTGACGGAGGCAGTGGCTTCCCGGGTTGTGATGTCGGGGGCGAGACTGTCACGCCGGCCGCGATGAGGTCCTCGGCCTCGTTGAGTACTGCCACCAGTTTGGTCGCCATGAAGAAGACACGCAGTGCGTCGTGACTAGTGAAGAATGCATTCTTGGAGCCATTCTGCACAATCTCGTACAAGCGGTCCAGATAAGCAATGGTGTGTTCAAAGACGAGCAGGCGGCGGTAATTCGACATGTTTGGTGCTCTCGATGACTCCATGAGACAGTAGACGTAGCTGTATCGCAGCTCCAAGTCAAACATCTCTCTCATGGCTACCGGGAGGCTCATGGGTAAAGCATCAGCCCACTCTTTCATGTCCTGGCACATTTGCCAGATGAATGAAGTCGAATCTGATATCGGTACAGTGTCAGACTGGAACAAGATCTGGTACCAGTGGGATTGAGCCCATCGCAGCTGAAAGAGAAGAAATGCGGGCTCGGTGCCGGCCAACATCTGGCCTGTGATGGATGCTCGCCGACTGAACGATTTGGCCCTCGGCCAGGCGACATTGGTCGAGGCATCTGTGAAGGAGAAAGCCCGGGCTTGTACCATGCTTATCGACCTGAGTTGATATTAGTGATGTTTATATGACCTAATGAGCGGTATGAAGCCCTTACCTATCAAGTGAATAGACACAATAGAAGAGTTTCCGTCGAAAATCCAATTGGGCCTTGTCAGGCATTTGCTCGGGCGGTGGATCTTGATGGAAGCCGAGATCAACGGCAGCTCGCGCTGTAAATCCGATCAGGTGCCAGCTGTCGAAGTGCGCCGGATCCATCATGGAGTATTGGGTGAGTAATATGAGCGATTGGATCTGCGTGACGTAGCCGGGAATGAGAGCCTTGTCGGCATGCTTCATGGCGCGTGACACAAAGTATATGCCGTTTCTATAGTGAGCATCATTGCCTGATTGACTTTGGGCAACAGATCCGACCGCCAGCACCATGAAAACAAGCCAATAGTCGGAGTCTTTGACGGAACGGTCAGGCTGGTTGTACACCTGCTCCAGCATCGTGTAGAAGGTGGTTTCTGAGAATGCCGGATAGAGCGAGAAAATGTTGTTCATGTAGTACTGAACAATGCCAAGGCCCTCTTCCCTCGAAGGCGCAGCCCAACCCTGTATGTTCGGCAGAGGATCATTACAGGAAGATGCGAGGACGAGCCGGGCAAAATTCATGTTGCTCATCGAGGGCTCAAAGTCTCTTGTTGTCGCATTAATAGACCTTGAAAAAGGTTAGCCAAGGTCTTCACCAGGCGACGCAAGTGTACACACAAGAAACCAAAGTCGGACATGAGGGAATTGACGTCAGTAGTCTCCCTCGTCCTTTCAGCTTTCCGGTGAATCGCTGCTCTGATGGTTGCCAACGAGTCTTTTCTGTCTGGCTGCTGAGTTGGGGGAGGTTCCGACTCATATTGAGCTACGGAGGCTTTCCTCGACCTGGCGTACTCGAGCCTCCTCTCCAGCTTCTCGATGCGCAACTCCAAAGCCGCTACATAGCTGCCAAGCGCGTCAGTCATGCGGTACAAGTATATCCCACGATCTTGAGTGCTTCCTACCTGCGCTCTTTGCCGCGAGCGAACTGATCATTGGCGCTCGAACACTCATTTTCACGGCCTGCTTTCTCACAAGCCGTGCAGGCTGGGAGTTTGCCGTCACACTGGTCATGCTGGTCAGCACAATTACATTAGCCGCGGCTGTGGACCAAATTACCTTGACCTTGGCGGAGCGACCTGGCATTCGTTGTCAGTATTTTGGTCTGCATCATAACTGACTGATCGAGGAATGTGCGGGACTCACATCGCGAGCAGGCAGACACGGGCCGTGAAACCCGCAGCAGAGGATTGTCAGAGAAGCTGGAGCGCGGCATCGCGCTCGTCGGGGTTGTGGTAGCTGCTGGGTTCGTCTCCGCAAAGTAAACCGGAACGGGCTCCGAGTGAGTGTGAACAGGCCGTAGTACGCGGTACCCTTACCCTTGGCATGCGGCAGTGTACGATTCAGTCAGCACGTGCTCAAACTCCAGAAGCTCGACCAGCGAGAAAAGGTTTGGAGGTGCCGGGCTTCTTTCTGCCGCGCGCAGATGAAGTCAGTCAGTCGCAAGAGGTGAGTGAGACAGGGCTGGGCCTGTCAGTCGTCCTTCGGTGTTGCAACTCGGCCGAGCAGGATTAGGTTGAGAGAGAGAGAGAGAGAGCACTGAGTGCGGAACCCAGGTTGCGGTATAGCTGGGGCAAGGCACTGGTTGCGCTGACTTGGGGGGCGACGTCTTCCTCTTCTCTGATCTCTTCAACGTAGGTGAGGCCCGCGAGGGATATACGGCGGTCACACAAGAAGGCGTTTGGCAGACAGGTGAGGAGGTCAGACAGGCAGACAGACGGATAACGGGCGGATTTCTTGTTGAGAGATTGACAGAGCCTCATTGAATGTCGCGACGTTTGAACTATTACACCGTAGCATTGGACCTCGATCTAGTTAGGGTACGTAATGCTAGGCTCTACCCTTTAGGGCGCTGCCGTGGGTTGGGCGGGGCGCGGCTATGATCAGCGACAGGAATTGTAGGTGGGATTACAGGGGATTGAGGAGGGTCCCTCGGGTCCCTTGGGCTGCTGCTCGCTGCTGGTGCTGCCCTGCCGCCGGGGGGTCTCGTCTCCGTCCTGGGCAGCTCCGCTTCTTGTGTGACAGACGGCAAAGGGAAAAGTTACGAAGGAAAAGGTGGGGTAGAAAGTTATTTGGAAGGGCTTCTCGTCATGTGAGTGAGAAATGCGACCGATATACAAGTACAGTGCCGAAGTGGCACATATAATCTAAAAGTACCTATTTGCCTAGATTCATACTGAAATTTGACACCACTCGATCTCGCTTTCGTTAACGCGTTGCGTTAGGAAGGTGTGCGGAATAACGTTGCCGCATTAGTTACACGTTAATATCTCGCTATTAGGTACGGTATGTTGGATGCATATAGGTACTTTGACAACAAAATGTGGCTTGATCCTCTGTAATTCCAAAAATATACTGGCTGTCCATCCGACAATCGCCACCTAACGATGTTCGCTGCCTCCGTGTTTGAACTTCCAAAATATGAACCGCGTCGACTATTGTGCCATTATCAGCATAATGATTGACGGGCTTTGAGTGGCGAGAAATCCTCACATGCTCACTCACTGCTTAGGTGATGGATTACGCATGCTTACACCTGCATCGATAATGTTACCACACACATACTGTCTTACTGGCGAGGCTACCTGAGTCCCGATGATAAGATAGACCAGTAGCTGCATGATATACTGCGTGCAATATAGCGACTTATATGTATCATTATATGGGCATCATACGTTGTTTGGCGGTCCCGTGAAGGGAGCAAGCTTAAACTTCCCGCAAATTGCCGTATTCCTTCTGTATACTGATTGGCCCCAACCAACGTGCAGCTTGAGAAGATACGAACCGCATTGGACAAACTCAGTCCATATAATTGAGTGAATGAGAACCTCACTCGCTAACAGCCTGCATATGAACACGCGATGCCCAACCTCTCGCTTAGATCTATAGCCATTTCCCCTATACCAAGCATCCATCAGATCTTCTGCGGCCCGTCTGAACAGGGGGTTCGTCCATGCGGGAATCTGGCAACTTTAGAACCCCCTGCATCTGATCTGTTGCGGGAGATCCTTACCTAGGCGCTAGGGCTGTCTGTTCCAAACATAGCGCAGTCACACCGTTTTCCAGATTCCCACAGGAGCACAAGATGACGCAGGAACAAGATAAAGGAGTCCAGGTCCCTGGGAAGCCTGCGAGATCTAGATTTTGACAAGCGATGGGTCCTTGCCATAAGGTCTCTTCCTGCCTCGAGCGGCGATGCCAGCTGGTGGTACTCCTGGAGGCAGAGACACCTGGAGTCGCAACCGAGTAAGCAGAGTCGTGTTGGTGCAGCTTTGACTTTCTTCTGCGGCAAGGTCAAGACACAACCTGACCTCTATACTGTATCCACTGCTTGGTGCTCAGTCCAATGCTACAGCCTGCATGTGGCTGCTCGAGCTATGCGCACAAATGGCGAGTGAAGAGGTACCCGGGACCAAACTGTTCAGGTATGTAGCCAAGTGCGTAGTGCGGACGACTACGATACTGTACGGAGTACTTCCGGGGAGATGGTCCCATCAGCTCGCAAGCAATTCTCTATTCTGGTCCATCCGTGACGTCGAGGACGGCCTGAAGTTTGAACAGGCCGACTCCCTTACACGCCATGAACTCCTCAGCGTGGCTCTGATTCCATCGGACGAACAAATGTCCATTGG